GTGCAAGGGCATATTTCTCTAAAAATTTTGAAATATGAATTGGCTTTCAGTATAGAGATCAACAAGTTGAGAAACAGTCCCAATGCCCACAATGGCAACCAAGGTTTGACTCTTGAAATTTGAACTTTGAACTTGTAAATTACAAACATAAACACCATAACGTACAAGATGCGGTCATATTACTTTATGGAACCTATAGATGAGCTAAAGTTGCATTATGTCCTACCCTAAATCCTTTTCATTACACTTACTGGAAACTCTATAAGCCTCATGCAATTGAGCTGTCTCTAATGCCCTCTCGTTGACCATATCTACCATTTTTGCAAGTTGACCCTTTCTTTGCCTCTAGGCCATTTTTTCCCCCAAAATCTAAAGAGAGTATGACCAATCGCCTGCCAAATCCCAAATAAGTGAAAGGACACAAACGAGGGAAAACAAGGATACAGCATTTCCTGAAAACACTAGAGCTGCTTTCACATCTGAGGACTGAAATTCGAATCCTCATTTGGGTTTTCAGTTTCACTTCTCACTTATGAAACACACTCCAATGTTAAAAAAAATTAAGAACTATTCTAAAAACATGATTCTTTTTTTCTTTTTTTGGTGGAAAGAACAGTATTTTGTGTATTTAATGACACTATGATTTTTTAATTAAGAAAAACATTAATCACATCTTTCAATGGACTTCCTTCCCGAGCTAGAGTACCCCATTTGGGGAGTCTCGATTCTAAGGCAGATGGGACCTCCATCCCATATACTTTATCGTTCGATCTTGACAAATTTGGATCGTACTCTTTCACATTGGGAGCATGATCCGTTTAACTCATGGTGTACAGATCTTGATCCCTATCCCACTGATCTTTGTGCATCTCTCAATCCAGAGATTCCGATTCCGATCCCAATCCAGGATTTGACCACTCCCCCGATCCCAATAATGATGGTGTTGTGATCAACAATGTATTCAATTTGACAACTTATCATTGACTTCATAATTGAGATATCAATGTCACTTAGTGATGTTTGTTATTAAATGCCATGCTTAAAAACTCCCGTCCCCACTTGGACTTGCCCAAATCACCCAAAGCTGGTGTCTTACCAGTTCTGATGCACCTAACTCGGATTATTGTTTTAAAAAACGGTCTGCTCGGCAATTAGGCGCCCGGAGGACCTCGAGGCTCACGCCGAGGGCCAAGCAGCCCTCCCTGCGCACCAGTACTTGGGTGGCCGCCCAGGTGGCCCAGGCAGATGCCTAGGCGAGCGCCCAGCACCTAGTCCTAGGCAGGCCCCAAGTGCGAGCCACTTTTTTAGAATAAAGGCCCCCTACCTCGAGTCATTTTTGACCCACAATTGTTTCATATAGGAAATTGGGGGTATTCTAAATCCCCAAAGTGAAAAAAATTTGGAATCTAAGACTCCAAATCTATTGATAAAAAAAACTGAGATTTCAAGAAACTTCCATAAGCTTAACTCTTCATTGTTGGAATTTTTAGGGTACTAGTGAAGGTATTTGAAGACTTCTTGTCTTGTCCCTTGAGTAGTCCATCCTTTTGTATTGCATATTTGGGCTATTGGTTTTATACTTCTCTTTTGTATTTCATCTTGTCTAGTTGTGATCATATTGATGTGTCAGTATGAAACATGCCATATTCAATTAGGTTTCGATAGTTGGAGGTTAACACACATGGAGTTGTTAATATGTTTTATTTTTTTCACTAAATTTTCAATTATTCCAAGTGTCGATGTGTTTCAACATTCATGCATAGATATTTGCATGGAGAAAGTTAGTTTGAATGCATATAAATGAAAAACAATATACAAAATTAACAGGACGTGCAATTTTCACCTCATGGTGCCTGAGGTTTTGGGCAACCACCTAGCGCCCTAGCGTTTTTTAAAACACTAACTCTGACAACCCCAGTCTGTCCAAGTCTTATAGAACAAATATGTGATTATGGTCCAAGTCTAGATCAGTCAAACTAGGGCATTGGTGAGGCAACTTGGAGCAGCCTCCTGCTCAGCCATGTGTTTTTAAAACGCTCACGAAATGTATAAAACTAGTTTAATAGTATAATGGGCTCCATCCCTCTGAATTTCTTATCTTTCTACTATTTGTCTTTAGCTGCTTTTTGATTTATTAGCCATGCCACCGTAATATAAAGTTTTGAATCCACCAAAGAAAATTTGTAATCAATATTCCAGATCATACAATAGCTAGGACAATGGGGTCCACAAATTTGTAATTCAACCTATCAAATTTAAGAGGTAACCCTTTGGGGGAGAACAAATCAACAAAAAAAACATTCTACAAAGTTCGTTATGAGCTTTCTCTTTATTCATAATGTCAATCTCTGAAAACGGCTCAAAAACTTCAATTGATGTAAATTAGTGGGTCCATAGAAAATGAAGCAGAAACTGTTATGGAAAACTAGACAAATTAGGCATTTATGCAAGAGTAAGATGAATCTTGGTCACCACCATCAAACAAATTTGACAATAGAGTCAAACCGAGGGAATTCGAAAACTTTGATATCATCATCGTCATCATCACCATCACCATCACCATCCCCATCACCACCATCATCATCATCATCATCATCATCATCATCATCATCATCTGAGCCTTATCCCAACTATGTGGGGTCGGCTACATGAACCCTTTTCTGTCAGTCCACTCTATCAAGGGCCAAACCCTCAGTCAGACCATAAGTCGCAATATCTCTTCTCACTACTTTCAAGATTCCATCCATGTCCTTTTGGATCTTCCCCTTGCCTTTTTAGATCCTTCCACTTGAGCCAAAAATTGCCCCTCCTAACTGGTGTTATTCTAGGTCGACGCTGCACATTCCTACCCAAGTCTACTTTTCCTCATCTCATTTCCTATTAGAGCAACTCTTAAGGTCCCTCTAATGCATTCATTCCCTAAATCCTATCATTTCTTGTCTTGTCACTCACCATCTCAACATCCACATATCAACTACACTCATTCTATCGATAATGTTGTTTCTTGACCGCCTAACATTCTATCCCACAAGTATGGTTGGTTTTAAGGCTGTCCTATAAAACTTCCCCTTCGGTTTTATTTGTATGCAGTGATCACAAAAAACCACAAAAGCACATGTCCAATTCGCCTACCCATCTCCACATCCCCCAACTATCTCCACTTCATCTTATAAAACACCCCCTTCAGTTTCATTGATAAGGCACGATCATATAAAACTCCAGAAGTACTTCTCCACATCACCCACCCAGCTCTAATTCAGAAAAATTCAATATATATAATGAAAAGTAGAGATTTCCGATTCACTATTCAACCTGGGAATAAGCTGTTATTTTGAATGATTCATTTTACTACTTTCTGAAAAGAGCCACCAAAGAAAATTTGTAGTCAATGTTCTAGATCATATAATAGCAAGGACAATTAGAATATCCATGCATTTACAATTAAACCTATCGGATTTAAGAGGTACTATAGTAATTGGCCTTAGGGAAGAACAGATTTTCAAAATACATTCTATAAAGTTCTTATGAGGGTTCACTTTATTCACAATGATAATCTCTGATCACTGCTCATAAACTTTAATTAATGTAAATTAGTGGGGACATTGAGAACGAAGCAAAAATTGTTAAGGAAAACTAATTGGAAGAAAGATAAATTAGGCGTTTATGAAGGCTAAGATGA